AGTGGAGTAGAAACGAGCAGCAGGATGTAAAGTTCACTGTCTTCACACTGGTGGTGTAAACACTGCTCCATACAGACACTGCTCATCAAAAACCGACTTTCTCACACAGCGTGCAGCACATGTGACTTTGGTTTACATGTCGTGCTCGACTTGCTGCCGCGGGAAGCACGAGTGTGTAGCGTGCACTCTCTGTCGATTTTATTGGGGAATCCTCTGAAGCTTCCCGTGCACGCAACTCTATAGACGCTTTCCCAGACATCTGCATCACGTTTCCTTTCTGTGTGGCAGGCAAAGGAAGTGGAATGGAAAAACTGCTCCCCCGCCCAGTGCGGCCACATGGCGAGGGAGGAGAGCAGTCGGTCAGGAGCCCGCCGGCCACAGTCGGGCATATTTGTGGTCAGCTTTCTCCTCTGCAGCAGTCTGAGCCGCTCTGCATCTTGGCCTACCTCTGCGCTCTGCTGCTGACTCCCAGGGCTGTTTCTCTGTCTCACACAATCAAATCCAAAATTTGGTTGCAAGAGGAACCAGAAAAGAGACATTTTCTCCTCCCTCGTCGCTGTTCTCCTTCCCAGACTATTTATACTGATGGGGGGGTGACACATGAAAAGGAATCAGCCTCTTTGCAGGAACAGTAGAAGGATGGGCCACATCAGCAGAGCGGTTCACACTCCGGCCACAGTCGACGACTTCCATCCACTGGCTCACAGTGAAACCAGGGGAAAGGGGAACACACATTTATAATAAACAAAGGAAACATATGCTTTACCAACCAGCCCAGTCCTGACTGATCTGATGTAGCCGCCATCTTTCTTTGCTCTCTGCTGTTAAATTGGACTCTCGGCCTAGTTTCTCTGACCATAAATAGAAGCAGGAGGCTGCAGATCTACAACTCTCTGTAGGGGATATGAAGTAAATGTGTGTGTGGCTGTGCTGGGTGTGTGTCGGTGTGGGTGTGTGCTTCACTTAAGGTGTATTTGTGAGTGTGTGGTGGTCCCAGCGGAGAGATGCCGGCAGTCTGCGTCACTGCACACGAGCTGGCCGGCTTTGCAAAAACAACATGCCGTATACTCATTTAAACGCTCGTTATTCGCGCTGCGGGCTCGCCGCGGGTTTAAAAAACAAACTGATGCATTATCAATGTGTTCTCTTGGATTCGTGATGATTTGTGATGCTTATTTTCCTCGGTGTAGAAACTCTGGTCCTTCCTGTACGCTAATGATCTTCTGGTGTCCTTAAAAAGACTGGAAGAAAACTTCTTTTCACATCGGAGCGATCATTCACCATTCATGGCTTTGAATGCCCCATTTGTGGAACGTTAACGCTCTACCGAGTCATTTCTTCTCGAGCTGAAAAAAGTGTCCATAAAGGCAGACTTTATGAGTGTCAGCCGAACACTGTAGCCGACTCTGTCAGCTTGAACTGCGCCGTGCAGCCAAATACAGTTCAGCGTCAAAAACAGACTCATGAATGTGCTTCTGGGCTATTATGTAGCATGAAACAGGTCACAAAGGCAGACTTCCTGCTTTTGTTTAAAGCTGAACACTTAAAGGAGTGTGCAGTATAGAAGGAAGGGAGCGTCTTGCCTGGTAGCCGTGAATGTGCATTGCTGCGTAAGTGCTGTTACCTTAAATGAAGATGGAAGCCTGGAATGCCCACATTCCTCGGATGTTTCTCCGAGTCTTCAGACGCCGATCGGTGCCTCTGTTCATCTGCAAGACGCTGGCAACGGCAGCGGCGATGTCATAAGAAATACGTCGTTACATAAGGATGAAGGTTCAACGAGGATCAGTTTTGCAAGAAAAAGAAAAAGTAGGTTGGACACTGGAAGTTCCTTTGAGGTATCTTGACCTTTATCTCGTTGAGCCGCCGTACAGCATTGCCATGGCAACTAAACTGGGTGCTGCCAGCTCGGGCGAGGGTTGTAATTCCTCAGCATCAGCTCCATCCCCGAGTGGCTCGGTGTTTTAGTCTGCAGAAGCAGAGCTCGCACAGCAATGACTCGCGGTTGAGTAAGAAATACTAAGAGCGATAAAGATGAAATGTGCAGAAAAGGAGTTTGATTGGCTCTGTGGAGGAGAGCAGATATCCGCTGCACAAACACAGAGCTGTAATCCCTCACAGCTTAGCAGTTCATTACACAGTTCATTGCACTTGAATCTCACTCTTGCTTTAATCTGACTTCCACCTTGTGTCTGAATGCAGGATGCTGAGTGCATCGAATGAACTTCTCAGACTTTTCATATGTTTTGAATGCAGCGTTTTGCTGGAGCTCGACTTTATGACACATTCTCAGCTCTGTTTATCTGAGATAGCTTTTAGCTAACTCTACCTTCATTAATTGTGTGGCAATCGTGTGGTAAGTGTAGACGGGTGTGGCTCTGACTATCGCAGTCTCTGTCCAGGAGGGACGCTCCACCATCTGCTGTAGGAATCCCCCTCCCAGCAGGCTGTGTGTGTGTGTGTGTGTGTGTGCACATCTTTGGGCTAATTATAGTGCAGCTGCAGTTGTACAGTACACTGTTGAACAATTTTGTCGCTGTTTGACAGGCTTGGCAGGGGGCAGATTTGACCCATCTGCCAAGGGCATGTAAGACAACACCGTGTTTCTGCTTTTATCTCAGGAATAATGAGGATTGGTCTCAACTTTGGGTTTCACTGAAACCAGGTGATAAGCAGCATATCAGCAGCTTGAAGTCAGATTATGAAAGAGAAAGAATTTAAAAAGCTGTGCGTGCGTGTGTGCATGTGTGTGCGTGCTAACAGGAATGTGTGAGAATGCACGCAGGTGGTTTGACTCAGCTGAGAGGAATCTGATGTTTGCTTGCAGTCACGGTCCACCTGCACCTGTCCCTGCGTTGCACCACCTTTGCAACCTGCGCTCTTTCTTTGTTGACAAACAGACAGTCAGTGGCGGCCACAGAATCAGCTATGTCCATGTGCTGTTTTTGCCTGCTCGGCTTGATCTTACTCATTATCCTCCAGAGTGAAGTGAGAGGCGGCTGGATATTATAAAGCGTTACAAAAGCCCGTACAGAGGTCAGGCTCTGCTAGGTGATACTGGGCTCACACGCGGGGAGCACACAGATCAGAGGGAGCCAGCTTCTTAAGATGTTAGTCATGCTGCTGTTGCATTTTCATGAGCCGTGTTGCAATCCCCAGGACCGGCCTGCCAGCCTCAGAGTCAGCTCGCACCACCAAGCACATCACGTCTGCAGAGATGTTCTTTTATTCTCAGATAGAAATTAAAACTTTAACGCTGTTCTCAGGACGAGCAGAATCATTTGTGGCTTCTTGTTTACCAGTGCTTAAAATTACACAGTAGACATAAAGGCATTTCTTTTAATCTAATTTATCACCATCTGACCTTCTTCTTCTTGATCCTTTGATGTTTACGATGTGTTTAAAAGTTTATGGGATTTCTTCTACATCGGGCACAGAGCACCAACAAGTCAGACTGCTGTGATGAGCAGGTATTCAGCTGTTCGCGTGCAGTCCTCGTCCCGTGATTGGCCAAGAAGCAGATGCCTGTCACCTTATTAAGGCTTCGGTGTGACGTACAGCATGCTGATGACTTGGGTTACAGTGATGGGATTGAAACAACTTCAGAGAACTTGTGGTTTCTCACAGTGGAATCATGTTATTGCCACTGCAGCGACTCACGTTTGCATCGTGTGGCAGTCATTGTGTCGGAGCTGTGCGCCGTACGAG